TCGGGGGGAGATGTAGAGCATACGGGGTGGGGGGGTGGGGGGGGTGAAACCAGCTCAGCGTCCCCTGCCCCAAGTGCCAGGACAGGGGACCTGAGAAAGAGACTCCTGGCTTCTACCCACCGAGGAGCAGCCCTTCCCAGTGCGAAGTGAGGGAGGCAGCTGCTAGCCTGGGTTGAGGGGACGCTGTTAAAATACAAATCCCTATTTAAAAACTGCTCTGACCCGCGTTGCTAATAATAACCTCTAGACGCATCCGGGCTGCATTCTGCCTCCGCGAGTCCTGGCGTGCCGCACTGCAGGCTGGAAGAATGGACCGAAAGCACCAACCCTCTCTGAGCTGGCTCCCACCCCCAAAGCCCACTTGCTAGACTTCTCTAAGGGTGACACACGGGCACTAGCTGTTTGTTTCCTGCCTGTTTCTACGCACGGTCTCTCGCTACACATGTGTGCGTGCATGTACATGCACAAACATACCCTCCCCAGAACAACACCCAGCCAAACCCCCTGCTAGGTCATTTGAGTTCCCGGGTAGGCTGACGCATCCCTTTTCTCTGGGCTGTGTTTCGGGTTGGAGACTGCTCTTATTTCATCTGCCTGCTTTGTAGTGGAGCATAATGGCCTGTTACCACCACCTTAGATGAAGGGCCTTGGTTACACACATTTGCCCCAGTGGGGTCTAGTGCAGCCTGTGGCAGGAGGCTTCTCCTCATCTCAGTCCTGCCATGTTCAGTGCTAACGAGGAAAAGGGAAGATGCCCTGCATTTCTTCATCAGGGCACTTGGGCAAGGCCGACATTGGGCTGGGTTCACTAAAGGCACTAGCAGCAGGTGCACTGTGAAATGCTCCCATCCCAGACTGAAAACCTAGATGGGCAGAGAGGTATACAGGGTCTTTGCTGAAAACATCACCAGCACAGGGGTGATGTTGTACGTTGTACACCTTGCATCTCCTGCACCGCTCAGTCACCAGGACGAAGCCCATCAAGCCTGAGAACAGCATGTTTGCTGACTTCCAGCTGCCTCCCAGCACTCACCAGCATCTCAGTTCATGTGCTGTGTTGATCATCCTACAGTTTTAGCCTAAAATCCCTGGTCCATGCCCCTGGGAAATGAAACCGGACTTTGAAAAGAGACAAGACCCCACCATGAATGTACCAGGCAGGGTGGGTTAAGCAATGAGACCTTGGAAGCTGTCTTCCACCAGAGTGACGACTGGCCCCACATTACCCAGCTAACACCATGAAAAACAAAGAAAAGCCCTGAATTGTCCCCAGGCCATGTAAGGTGTGGGATGCAGAGAAGAAAGTTGTTCTGGGGTTGAAGTTTGCTTTGCTCTGACTAGTCCAGGTCGCATTTTTATTGCAACAGGGAGCAATTCTTCTGAATCAGAAGTGACCAAATCATCTCTGAGCTCCTGCTCTGTGCAAAAAACGCTAGATTGTGCTGTGTTATACAGAGCTCATCGCACTGGGGTCTCAGCCCATGAATGACCGAGTCACCCAAGTGCTACTGCACCAAAATCCTCCTCCTTCTGTCTTCTCTGTCTTCCTTTGCAGAAGTAAGTTCCCACTTGCAGGGCAGTAGCCACTCTGTCTTCTCTGTCAAGTAAGTTCCCACTTGCAGGGCAGTAGCCACCCCAGCCTGTGCCAACCTCACAGCTTGTTACTGAGACCGATTCCTGTCCAAATGTCTCCGGCCACATGAAAACGGCAGCCGCGAGTTCGGACGCAGGGGCGAGGCTGACACTGGCTGGTGTCAGGCAGCTGCTCGTGTCTGCGGGCTCTTGCTACCTAAGCACAAAATAGCACAATCGCTTTTCTAAGCCGGGGAGCTGGGACTCTCCCCCAGGCGTGCTTTTATTCCTGCAGACACAGGATGAAAGGGGAATGCGGAATGGCGGCCAACTGCTTCCCGGCACTGCCAATGTTTTCAGTGCCTTTCTGTTTCTCTGGTGGAGCTCAAACCTGCAGCCCCGCGGCTTGTCCCAGCAGCCTGATGGGAGCTGACTCCACCGGGTTTCATCTGATTGCGGTCTATTTTTCCACAAAGCGGCAAAGCTGGAGTTATCCCTGAAATACAAACAGGCTGGCTCGCTAAGCCCACAGAAGGATCAGGGGCTGCGGCAGGGCCGGTAGACCCACAAAGCCCGTGGGAGACGAGCAAACCGGGTGGGACCCAGCAAACAGGACGTGGGTCTTTGCAGAAGGCACAGAAAGCAGACACGCTCAGAGCCAAGATTTAGTCCTGCTTTACTGCCTTCCCAGATCACGTTCCTAAAGTATGTTGTTAGTCTGCGGATGTGTCCTACAGATCAGCGAGCATTGTGTAAGCAACCCTGTGCACCAGCCATGGCAGAGGTGCCGCGCTCAGCCTGAGAGCCTGACTTCACTTCAAAGTGTAAGGGCAGAGGCTTCCAGCTTTTAAGCCATGTTGGCTAGTCAGCTAAGCAGGTGGCTGTGACACAGCCCCCCAGGATGGAGATCTTCTTATTTCTCTGCTCAGGGACCTCACGTCCCTCTGCATGGAGGCAAATGATAACAGTAAGCCCTGTTGACAAACTGTTTGCAGTTTGGGAAGAAAGATGGCCTTGGCTTCTGATAAAGGCCACGAGCACTGGGGCTGGGGCCGTGGCTATGAGGACAGCAATGCCAGCAGGCCTGTGGATGATTTTAAAGAGCACGCAACTGCCAAGTTCAATTAGGACTTAGTAAAATACTTTCTCTAGGCAGGCCCACCTGCAAGAGAAGGCTGCAGGAGCTCAGAGTCAGGGCACCCAGCATGGGGCTGGCCTGACCGGACTCGGCCCTGGAGCAGAGGGAGGTGCCCTAGCAGGTTATGTTCAGAAAACATTTGCTATTTGTTATCATTTCCATCACAGCGGCCCCCGGTGCTAGCTCCGGCATGTGGCCATAGCACAGGACAGCTCCTGCCCTGACCAGCTTGCAATCCAAGAGGACAAGACAGGTATTTTAGCTCCATTTGATAGCTGGGTCCCTGGCACACAGCGAATGCGGACAGGTGCCTACAGGAGTGAAGTGCCCAGGTAATAAGCAGGATTTTCAGAAAGCCTTTCTGCATGTGTAGGTGCCTAAATACCTTGACAAATCTGGCCCTTAAGTAACTTGCCCAAGGTCACACTGGGAAGCTGCAGCAGAGGCAGAAAACCAAGCCAGGCTCCCTGCCGCCCAGGCCGTAGCCTCGGTGACTTCTCTCAGCCTCTCCAGCAAGGATGCTCGTGCGTCTCCCCAGGTGCCGACAGCCCCTATTTTGCTGCCACACGTTTTTCTGACATCCTGTCAGAGACAGAGGCGAGCGGAGCATGAGGGGCTCTGACAGCGCCTGTCCCCCAGGGAGGCTCTCGCCTGGGATTTCTCATCACGTCCACGGGATGCTCAACATCCCCCTGCCTTCCTCCTCGCTTGGCACCGACAGCTCTGCTCTAGCGTGTCGCTTCCCTGCCGATATCAGCGGGACCGTGCGCGTTTCGGGAGAGCACAATACCCGAGAGCAGATCCGCCGGGCGGACCAGCAAGATTTTTGCCCCGAGACTTAAGGGCAGAGACATGATCTGAACGCCCCCTCCTTGCCAGGGAGAAGCAGGGCTTCACTGCCAGCTGCGACCTGGGGTGCTCCTTCCAGTAGATGGCACACACAGGCCTAGCAAGGCTTCACTTCGCTGATGGAGAGAAACCTGACACTGAGACACTCCCTGGGAACTGCCAGGGGCCGAACTGGGAACCAGGAAATACAAGCTCTCCCTATCCAGAAAAACACTTTTGCTGCATGGAGGAAGGAGCGACATGGGCAATCGCTGCAGCTGCGGGGGAACCTGGTGAGTAGGGCAAGGAGCTTCTTGCAGGCAGTGGGAGAACAAGGGGGAAAGGAGACGAAGCCGGAGAAAGTTTCCACTGACTTAGCTGGAAAGTGCCCTCACTTTTCCCCCACTCAGCTGAGTCCTC